CTCTTTGCCTCAGTTTCTTCAACTGTAAAATCAGGTTAATAATAGCACCTGCCTCTCAGGGTTGTTGTGAGGATCAAATGAGATAATATTTGTAAAAAGCACTTAACACAGTGCCTGGTACATAGTAGGTGCTATATAAACACTTATTCCCTTCACTCAAACAGGGATGATAACTGAACTCATGTACAGTAAAACACTGCCAATATGAGCATAACAATAAGGGAGGTGATGTGATGATGGAGCAGGATCCTTTGATTTGGAATCTAATGACCTGGGTTGGAGCCTCAGATCTGCCACTAAACACCTGTGCGGCCTTAGAGAACTCTTTTCCTATTTCTGGCTCTTAGTTTACTCATCCATAAAATGGGGATAAACAATCCTTGTAATAGCTACACATTACAGGGCCTTTGTGAGAAAAATAGCTTTTGTAGATCTTCAAGCCCTAAATAAAAATGGAAACTATTTTTATGATTATTTCCATTCATATTCCCATCTGAGTTCACTGCTATGCCCCTATTAATAGCTGATTATTTTAATATCCTTGATAAGCTAATATATAGATCAATCAAAATACAGTTGATTCCGGCACTGTACTTACTGTATAATTACCCTTGATAATCTCTGATGCGGCTGCCTCTGATTATGGCGCTGTGACAGGCGCTGACTGATTTCGGGGATGGTTCTGCTCCATAGCGTGATATAACGAGTTGTAATTGACTCAGTGCATGTCTAATGCTGATTGTGGATGTCTTAGGCTGGAAACCCAGAATTGGTTTGATGGCGAGAATGGGACCCGTCATCCTCTAAACAAGATCTTTTTTCTATATTTGTTCCTCATGCAATTTCATGGTGATTACCTAGTTATTTTATTTTTTTCTCTTTGGAAGCTGAGCCTGCTTTTGAGTACAACAGGAGTGGCTCTTGGCGACTTGGGAGCTGAGGCGAGTTACTGATAGGCCCAGTCACAGCCTTAGAAACTCCTGGGAGTTGTACTTATTCTCCATTTATGCTGTATGTTCTTATATATGTGTATGTTGAACCTCCCCCAAGGACAGTAGTTGCTGGCAAATAGCAGGTGCTTCATAAATATTTCAGATATGTGTATTTCTGTATCAGTCTTCGTATATCTATCATCTATCTGTATATCCATTTATCCACCCATCCAATCTATCCCTTCTATCATCTTTCATCTATCCATGTCTCTATTTAGATCTATTCATCCATCCCCTTCTATCATTTATCTCTCTGTTTATATCTATCCCTCTCTCTCAGTCTCTCTCTCAGTCTCTCTCTGTCTCTCCTCTCTCTCTCTCTCTTTCTCTCTCTCATAGGGATAGAGACTGGCCTCAGAAAGGTGAAGTAATTTGTCCAGAGTCACACAGCTAAGAAATGTTGGGTTTGGGATATGAACCCAGGTCTCTTGACTCAAAAGTCTGGTGACCTTTCCACATATTTCCCAATCCAACCATACCTAGGCCATGTCCAATTTGTACTAGTCAGCAAAATTATACTATCAAAGGTCTTTAGATGTGAAAACCGTAAAATAAAAAAAACTGAAAAACATAAAAACTGGGATCCTCGTTCTCTAGGTCCTGCTCTTCCCATTCCTGGCTCCCTCCCCACCCTCACCCCCAACCCTTCAGCCAACATCATGATGAACAGACATGGTCAAAGAATTTAGATTTTAGCCACCCATCCAGGTTGGGAACCAATGGTACAGATTGAGATGTTTTCTAAAGTCCCTTATGGCTGCTCTAAGGCTTTGTTTCCACGACTTAATGGTTAGAACACTGTGCCAGTTGGGCAAAGGTCACAGGTTCAATCTCCAGGTACTTGCTTCTCATCTTTGTCCCAGTTAGCAGCCTTGTAGTTACCACTCATCCCAGGTGAAAAGCTTGTGAACAACTCATGTTTACCAAGTACCTGAGGGGCGGTGGAAACAAAACAGGGACAGGTAGAAGGCTTAGATTTGAGTCCTGACCTTGCAAAATATTCTCTGTATGGCCTCAGGCAAGTTATTTCCTCTGTCTGAGCCTCAGTTTCCTCTGATGTAAAATGTGGTGATTGGATCGAAATATCCAAGATCCCTTCTGTCTCTTAAATCCCCTGGCTCCAGAATCTCTGATCCTATGAACCTACCCCTACAAATGCAGACACAACTCAACCCTTGTATCCACCTAGCTGAGGGGTTATAACTACAAAAGGATTGTAACCGCAGAAAATGACCTTTGTTTCAAAGAGTAGATCCCTATCACAGAACTCTCTCTCTCTCTCTCTCTCCCCCTCCCTTGGCCTCAACCACCTTCATTTCTACCAGGGAGACCATGGAATGTTAGGGGTTTGAGGCCTTACAGATCTAGGCCAAGGATTCTTAATTCTGGGGTGCCTGAACTTCTTTTAAAAAATATTTTGTTACTTGTGTTTCAATATAATTGGTTTCCCTTGCAATCCTAAGTACCTAATCTTATGTATTTAAAACATTATTGTGAGAAAGGGTCCTTGACACATACATAAAAAAATTAAGAATCCCTTCTCTAGAGAACCCTCTCATTTTACAGATAGGGCGGAGGCCTAAAAAGGGGAAATGACTTGGTCCAAGGTGACATAGCGAGTCGATGGTAAAAGCCAGTAGATTCCCACCTCTTGGTCCAGTGTTCTTTCTCCATCTCCAATGCTGCTTTCCTGGGTCCCACTGGCTTTTGTTGGAAGACAGGCTCAGAGATTTGAGTTGGGCAGAACAACCCAATCCCAGTTTGTCTATGTATTTCCAGTGTCCTCCAGACCTGGAGTGGGAAGGGTTATCTGTTGAACTCTTCTATGTGAATGACCTATGCTATAGCCCCAGAAGCCACAAAGGATCTTAAGCATCAATTAGTGAAACTCTCCCAGTTAACTGAAGTCCAAGATGTTGAGCAGATATAGCAAGGTGGTACAGTAAGGGCCAGGGCTATCACTGGGGTCTTTAGAATCCCAGCTGAGTAACTTCACAAAATTCCAGAGTTGGAAGGGAGGGCCTTTAGAAGCCATTTTTAGGTGGGCAGCAGGGTGTAGGGCAAATCACACTGGAGTTGCATTCAACATGACCTTCGCTGGTTATTTAACCTCCCTGAGCCTGCCTAGGAAATGAGAAGGTTGGATTCTATGACCCCTAAGGTCCCTTCCAGCCCTGTTTCTGACCCAAGAGAGAAGTCGTTGACCATATATTTGTATGAATTCCCCATGTATCTTGGGTATCAGACCTTTACAAAATAGAGGTCTCTGGCTTTGATGGCAGCCTCTCCTGGCTTTCTGTTGATTCTCTAGCCTTTTTCATCATGCCTCAGATGTTTCTCACCCTAGAACATGCTTCCACCCTGTGACCCCCTTATCTGATTGGTGAGTTCTTCCCAGAACCACCATTTTGAGGAAGTGCCCAGTCCAGCCACACTCCTTGGTTCCCTCCTGATTCTCCAGGCTTCTCCACTATGCCCTTATGTGAATCTCTTTCCTCCTTCCCACTTTTCAACTACCTCACATATTTAAGTTTCTCAGCTCACCCTCAGTCACCTCTCCCCTGACTGAAGGGCTGGAGGGTGGAGCATTGAAGTCTTCCCAAATCCTTTTATACAGAATTCATAACCTTCCAGGTGACTCCATTTTCCATTGGCAGCTGTGCTTGGCTTTGGCACTCCAAGGGACATTATGCCCTTACGCCAGGTACCCCCTTTTCTCAGCTTCCTTTTGCGTGCTGGCTTCTCCCTTTAGATTATGAGCTCCTTGAGGGGTGAGACAGTATTTTTCTGATTTGTATCCTCAGCATTTAGTATGGCGCCTGGCACATAGTAGGCACTTAATGTTTTGTCTTCCTTAGCTACTCTGATCAAGACAATGATACAAGGCAATTCCAAAGGACCCATGATGAAAAATGCTATCCACCTCCAGAGAAAGAACTGATGAACTCCAAGTAGACTGAAGCATACTTTTTCACTCTATTTTTCTTGTGTTTTCTTTTGTAACATGGCCAATATGGAAATGTCTTGGATGACTTTACACATATAATTGACTTCAAATTTTTTGCCTTCTCAAAGGGTGGGGAAGGGGAAAGACAGAGGGAGAGAATTTGGAACTCAAGATTTCAAAAAAATCAATGTTAAATTTTTAATTGGGAAATATTTAATGAAATAAATTTTTTTTTTAAAAAGGAAAAGGTTTTCTTTCCCCATTAGAATGTAAGCTCCTTGAGGGCAGGTGCTCTTTCTTCTTGTATTTGTATTCCTAATGCTTAGTACAATGCTTGGGATGTAGTAAGTGCTTAATGTGTGTTGACTTCATTTGAACCCAAGCAGGAATGCTGTTTCCAGCATCTCGGACAAATTATCATATAACTTCCACTTTACAAGACACCCCACCTCCCACCCCTAGTGATGGGGAATTCACTACCTCTGAAGGTAGTGACTTTTGTACTGTTCATAGTATTAACACATTTATATTTAAAATTACAGAGCACGTTCCTAAGAACAACTCTCAAAGGAAAGGTCTTATCTTCATTACTTTAGAACTTATGATGATATATCATCATATATTTAGAGCTGTAAGGCCATCTAGCCCAAGGCCCTCATTTTCCAGAGGATGAAACTGAGGCCCAGAGAGGTTAAGTAATTTGCCCAAGGTCACACAGGGTAATGGCAGAGGCCGAATTCAAAGCCAGGTTCTCCACCTACGAGTCCAGGGTTCTTTCCACTGCCCCACACCTACCTTCCAATTGAGGCCAAGAGAGGTTCCATTACAAACTGTGTGGAAAGCATCAGCCAAAGAGTGTAAAGCCCCATCTCTCCCCACTCTGATCCCAAAGTTCCTTCTTATTCTGCAGTCCTCTCACCTAGCCAGCCCCCATCTCAGAATTAGCTCTGCAAGTAAGTAAGGCTAGTCCACAATTCCTCTCCCGTCTTCTATTTCACCGCCAGTCGCCCCAATGATAAAATAGGCAGGCCCGATGGGAAATAACACCAGGAGACACAGACTTTAGCAAAAATGTTTAATCTCTCCTTGATGCGCTTTTATTTACAAGTACTAAATCTGAAGAACATTAAAATAGGAAATAGCGGGAATATTTACACAATCCAAGGGCACAAGGATCTATGGGCCCCACTGCTTCCAACGTGGAGCGACTGAGTCATGTTTATCAGAACCACTGATCAGACCATTAAAACCATCTGTCTTCTCTCCATTTGAAATGTGGACGACGACGTTAAGGGACAGCTAATTGTGCGCTTCATCTTAAAAATATAAATCTCTCTCTAAATATATCTATCCTATCTGGTGAGGCCAAGGATTTGAGCTGCTGATTCCAAAACTGGGGGGTTGGAGAGTGGGGAGGGGGAAACAGTCAGGAGGGTTTCCTCCAAGAGGCTTAATAATAAAGAAAATGGAGTCGATGTAAATTTGGTTATCTTAGGGGAAAAGTGGGGACCAAGATGTCCCATTGATTCTATGAAACCTGGAGCTCAGAGAGGCAGTGCCATGCTGTTTTTCCTGGTGGTGGTGCATATGTGTGCGCATGTATGTGTGTTTCAGGAGGATTTTAAACATTAAGGACTTAAAATGCCAGTTACCATTCCCCTAAGGAACTAACTTTTGGGTCCACTTAAGACCATGGTCTTGCCCTCCCCTAAAGTCTTCCCTTTGATGTTTCACTGTGGCATGAAAGTGACCCCATGGCTCTCAAAGATGATGCCAAGCTGAGACAGGATTTCCTAAGCTGGAGAGGCTTCAAGGATGAGCCCAGAAAAGGACAAGCTCAGCTAACAGCAGAAAGGCTCGTGCCCAGAGGGCGTTGGTGGGGGAGAAGTGGGGGAGAGAGGAGGGATGAATTCTGGAGTTGTAGCCTACTGGCTAGGGTAAAAGGAGCTTCTGAAGCCTTTGTCTGCCAACCAGGCCCCTGGGCTGGAGGCACAGCAGCACACACACTCTGATCCGAGCCAACAGTGTGGTAGAGCAGGACCTAGAGAGTTGACAAGGCTTGGGGAGGAGATGGGTCAGCGCTTTGGAGCATGGAGAGGGAAGCATGAGGTAGATTCAGGTCTCCTTAGAGAGATGGCAGGAAGACCCCAGCCCAATGCCCCCATTGTTCTCTGGCAAAGAAACACAGATGACCCTCATGGTATCTCATGCTTCTAAGACCCCAGTGGAGTTTTCTTGGAGCTGTCCCTGCCTCCACTGGAGTACCGGAAAGGGCAGCTGTGTTTGCCTGGGGGCAGTCTGAACCAAAATTTCTTGCAGTGAGATGCTGCCGCATCTATTACATCTTTGTGAAATATCCTCCCCACCCTCACTAAGGTTCTTTACTAAAGGAGGAAACTAAGGTCCAGAGGGAAGTCACCAGGCTAGGTCAAGTAGTGAGTTTGTGTCAAGGCCAATTCTGGAGCTCAGATTTCTCGAGTCAATCTGGTCCCCCTTCCACTACCCCATGCTGCTGGAGTTGTTTCTACTTCGACCCTCCTGGTTTGACTTTATGGCCCACTGGCTCATATCACCAGGGCTGGAGAAATGGATAAAATCAACCCAATGCCAATTTGGCTGGCAAACCTGCCAAGGGCGGAGGAGGTCCTGGTGTAACCTAGGTGAATGATGAGAACCTAGTGCAACCCAGGTGTGAGAACCCTCTATTCACCACGAGACCTTGCATTTTCTTATTCCTCCCTTCCCAGTGGTCCATCCCCCATCTCTTTTTGCACCTAAGGTACAACTAGCTATAGCCTTGAACTTGACCCTTCTGTGAGAGGCAGCAAAAGTAGCTGCAGGTGATTGTGACTATCGTGGACTCTGGCTCACTGGTTTAGACTGGGGGTGAGGTTAGCTTCACTTAAAGGCAAGCCTAGCTTGACGTATTTTGGGAGGAGGGGGTGAAAAGAACCAGACCTAGAATTTCACTGGTATACAGGGAAATCCTGATGAAGAAATTTTCTCTCCCAATGCACATGGATGGTCCTGGAGAGCTGCCTGGAGCTCTGGGAAGTGCCTGGCCCAGGATGACATTGCTAATATGTCCTCCTGACTCCAAAGGCACACTGCCCCTCAAGTATAGATTACAGACTTAAAAAAAGAAATGTAGTTTTCCTGCTTTTAAACACATACGGTAATTAGAACCAAGCAAAGGAAGCACTCCCTAATAGAGATCCTTAGGGGACTGGCTTTAATGAATAGATAAGAATGATTTATAATTAGCACTGTCAATCATTTTGCATAAATGGAAGCTTCTAAAGTGCTTGAGAAGGCTTGAAACCAATCTGTGCTCTCAAGTAGGTTAAACATGCCCCCTGCCCCCCCTCCCCCAAATGACTTAAATTCTTTCTAGATAACACAAAGGGAAGTATCAGCCCAACGCCATCAGAATCATGATTTCTGAATGAGTGGGGCCTGGTATTATGAAGCCTGAGTATCCTTCCTGCACTGAAGTGGCAAAAGTGTCTGGTGATGACATGAGTGGGTCTTTGTGAGCATGGGCCAGGCCAGATGACATATTGGGGGCAAAGCCACTTCCCTAAGGTCTGATTAGATCATTTAAAGTGTGGGGCTTCACCTGTCGAGCACTTTCTCTCAGGAGCCTCGTGGAACTGAACTTAATTTTGTCCCTCAAGAGCAAAGCTGGTTAGCTACAGGAATCCTCTTCCTTACTGATTCCAAAGTCTTGCTCCAGAACCTTGGTTTCCAGGGACTTGCAGGGGGGAATGGGGAGGGAGGACAAAAGAGCTTGGCTGGAATGTTAGGCAGTATTCAGTCCATCACTTGGTCTGACCAAAACATCACATTCTAATCTTAAACTTGCTTTGAATCCCTAGAGAGTTCAATCCAAGGAAATAAGTGACTGAGGCCTAAGCTAAGCCAACTGGTCTGGGGAAAGTCTTTATCCCAATTCATTAAAAATTGAACATTACTGGAAACAGTGGTCCCTAAGCATAAATCTCTGCCTTGTTTCTGGAGTCTCAGAATTGTTTGCCTCATCTGTCATGTTTCCCAATAATTTAATGGCAAATGAGGATTTCCTGAGTCAAAGATCAGGATTGATTCCAAAGTAACTTCCCTCCACATTTTTTGGGGGAACCCCTGATGACTCTAAATGAACCCCCATGACCCCCCATCATGATTCTAAATTCAATGGGGGGGGCAGAGGGTAAGGAGAGGAACCCTGAGGGGAAAGGGGGGAATCCAGTGAGCAGAAAAATGAACCCAAAAAATTCCATTTAGGTCAATAAGGGTTCTCCCTGTAGACCTAAGTCTTCAAAAATAATGGAAACCTACTTTTTGGAACTAGCCTCCCAGAGTTGATTCCCATCACCAAGGGACCCAGTCACCCCAGAGAAACAAGAGTTCTCCCTCCTCTGGGCCTCCCTGAGACCCCCTGGGAAAGACCAGGCACCACAGAGAGGAGGAGACAGTTGGTCCCATCACAGTTAGCTGTCCCTTAAAGTACACAGAAACCTTTAGTACCATTTTAGAAGTAAACTGGTGAAGGTAAGTCTACTTTCATCCATTTTTTTTCTTTTACAAGAAGTGACAAATTAATTAAAAATAATAATAATAATAATAATAATAATAAAAAAAGTCTAAACAACCTCTAGTATTCAACACTTGCAGTTTTAAAAAGATCAACTCAGACTAAAATCTAGCACGCTCATGCAGTAATTCGCAGGTCCTAGGCAGTCCTGGACTTTCTGAGGATTTGGGGTAGCTTTTTCTTCCTCCTTGAAGTTTCAAAAAAAAAAAACGAAATCACCGCATAATTAGAGGTGTTCAGGCTTCAAAGATTGTTCCGCTTGGTGATAAACTCCTGGAAGTTCCTTCCAGACCATTTGGTATGTTTGTTTTCTTTTGTTTTGTTTTTGCTTTTCCCACTGGCTTAATTTTCTTATTCTATATCTTTTTCTTTTTTTTTTTCCCCTAAATTTTCTCCTTCAGTCAACTATACAGGACCCTCCTGGGGTTGGAGATTTAGGTTGTAACCACATATATATATATATATATGTACAATTCTCTGTTTTTTAATTAAAAACTTCATTTGTTCTTACTTGGTCACTGAGGGCGTGAACGGATACAGAGCAGTTCCTCGGGGTCACTGGAATGGCCCCCTTGGAGGACAGGCCTGGCTCCCCGTGGTCCGAGGCTGAGGCAGCAGCAATACATATTGTGAACAGCATCATCTTGGCCTGGCTGGGTAACTGAGGGAGCACTCACTCAGCTGCGGCTCTGGTCTTCACCAGTAAAGCCACCACATGAGAACCAAACAGGCTTTCTCTTTTCTTTCTTTCCTCTTTAAAAAAAAAAAAGAAAGAAAAAAAAAACAAGCAAAGCCAAAAAGCTCCCCCAAAATCCCATCTCCACTCTGAGGATCACCACTTGGTGCTAGATTTCAGATGAACGGGAACTTGGAAAATACCCAGGGGGAGAGGACAGAGGAAAGGAAAGAAGACAAGACAGAGAGAAAGAGAGAGAGAAGTAAAGACACTCTGGACAGATTCAAGAGCTAGTCTCGTGAAGTTTTCAGCCTGCACCAGAAGAGATCAAAGGCTATCTTTGGCCACACCTGGCCTAGATTTGTGAGGTGTTGGTTTAATGACTGGAGTTGGGTATAATAAATACCTAGAGAGTGATGTTCAACCACAGGCCCCGGGGGTCTTATGGGGGATCCCCAAGCACTTCCATAGGCCCAAGGGTAGCCTCTCATGGGTGAGCATGGGAGTTACTGGTGGTACAAGTTGCACAGAAACTGTAGTTGAGTTAAAAACAGATTATCTTCCAGGGGACAAGGCCAAAAAAGTACTCATTTAGTAGGGGTTGTTGTGTAAGGAAAGAAGAGTTTCAAGCACGTTTGGTGGGAATAACCTTGGTGATGATGACGATGGTGTTCCTGAGAATGGTGGTGACAACAATGACGTACGATGAAGATGATGACAATGATGGGAAGGCCTGGTGAATGGCATCCTTCAAATGCCATGTCCACCAGCCTACTTCCAACTGAATCCTCAGGAAACCCTCTGTCTCTATTTCTTCCGTTTATTAGACCTAGAGGACAGAGCTTGTGGCCAGCTGCCGCTGGATAATAGTCAAGGATGACAGAAGACTTGGGCCAGACAAAAGTTAGTGATTTATTCCCTCTCACCATCAGCCAGAACATCTCTGCCCCAGAACTTGGTAACTTATTTGAAGTATCTACTGCCGATGACTCCCTTCTCTCCCAGTCCCTCAACAGGCCCAGTTCTAACAAGGATCTCCCAGGAGAGAGGAAACAGGGAAGGGGGTGGTGACCTTTGGATGTGGCTGAGAGCCACCCCACCCACTTTGTCACCCAGCTCTAGGAGGCTCCATTGGAGCCAATGTTTCTGTGGCTCTGTGACTCAACCAGAAGAAATGAGGACTCTTGCCTGTAGGGTCATGATTCAACCCTGTGGGGAAGGGAGGCAGAGAGTATTGCCTTGCCTTGCCTCTTTCTTTCCAACAGCATCAGTGAAGGATAGAAGAGGGGTTAGTCCTCTCTCTGCCTCTCCTCATCTCTGGTATCGGTGTGAAGGGCAGTCTCACATGTGACCACAACCCGGGGCCAAGGTGTTCTAGGGAAGTTCTAGGTTCAGAGGCATCAAGCCCTTTTCCAGAAGGAGATCAGACAAACAGGGTACTCCAGAACTCAGGCAAAGCTCTCCACTGAATGACTTTGTCCGGAGCCAGATGTGGGTTTCCAGAATATGGACCTATCAGCAGCAGAGACAGGTATCCCACCAAGACACTTCCAAGGGGAATCTTATCCTTTGGCCCTCGAAGACGATGTACCGGGTTTGAGGAGGTCACAAATTTAGGAAGCCCATGGATAGGGGGGCAGGCTAGGGCTTGGGATAATGGGAAGGAGGAAAGGAGCAGGGAGCAGGGAGGGACCAGGGAGAGAGTGGGCCACACCTCCTCCCCCTGTCCCACCTGACCAACTCCCAGCAGCCCTTGATAATGATGTAGGGCAGAATTGAAGGCATGTCCTTCCCAGCTCCATCCCTGGCCCCTCAGGAGCTGCCCTTTGTCATTCTCTGACCCTGGACCCCTTCCCTCGATCTGGGGAGCACCTCGGTGCTTTTCTCTCCCATTTGTGGCTGAGGGGGATACAGACGACACGTGGTACGGGACAAGGAACTTTCACCCCTACTGCATACCCTCTTTCCTTTTTTTGTGCTGTTTGGGCTCTGACAACCAGTTTAAAGGTTTCCCTCTCACTTGGGGGGTGGGGGGAGAGAAGTCAATTTCATGTCATATATAAAACCTTTCTCGTTACATTTTTTTTCCTTTCTATTTGTGGATTTGTAAAAGGAAATTTTTGATGTTCTGTAAGCTGTGCAAATAAAGCAGGTAAATGAGAAAGATGGGGGAGGGGAGGGGGAGAGAATGGGTCCAGGGGGTACAGAGGAGAGAGTGGAAGAAAACAGTCAGTCACATTTGGAGGAGTTAAAATCTGAAACCTCCGTGGAAAAGAAAAGGGGGTGGGGGGCGGAGGGAAGGATTCAAGATGCCCACCCTCTCCCCCGGCATCATCCCTCACAGGGAGCACCATTTCCACTGTGCCAGCCTTCCGTGAGGAGTGGAGGCGTGCATGGCTACTGCCTCCTTGCCAAGTGATTGTGGCCTCCTTCCCTGCCTCCCACCACGTGCTGCTGCCTGGAAAGGTCCTTCTCTCTCTCCTTCTCTCTCTCCAGGCAGGCTGACGAGTGGGTTTTGTGATTCTCCCTTCTTCGGCAGATCAAGTGTTGGCATTTTCCTTGGCTTGGCGGTGCTGGCTGGCTCAGGGAGGGGCTCTGGTGAATGCAGCGCGGTCCCCCGCTTCCTCCCCGGCATGGCCGGGGGTGCGGGACAGACACCGCTGCCCCTGCTGCTAGCCTCTCTCTCTGCCTTTGTCTCTCTGGTTCTCAGAGTCTGCCACTAGGAAAAAGTCACCAAGAGCCCTGCTGGACTTTTCAGCTGCTCAGGGCCATCGTGTCTACCACCTGCTCCAGCTTGCTCCGAAGCCGCTGTTTTCGCGCCTGTTCGTCCTTCTCCAATGCAGCTAATATCTGTGGGCGAAACAAGAAAGGAGAGGACAATGAGTGGAGACGGTGCGGAAATCAAGGGGCTAACCGGAGGAGTCTTCTGGGGAGAACCAAGGGTCAAAGGATGAGATGGGTCCACAATCCTTCCACCAAACAGAGAGGTCTAGGCAGTCTCCACTCTGCAAATGGCCATCCTTTCTACACTCTGCTGGGAAGGCCCTCCACTTTTAAATAATCTAACCCAGCTTGGCAAATAGTTCAGGGAAATGGTTTTGTCCACAACGATGTCATTTGGACTATCCCGGGTTTACAAAGGTCCTTCCACATCACAAAGTACTGACTTTCCCTGACAGGCCAAGAAGACTGATTTTACATGCCCAAACCTACAAGAAAGGTCCATCCTGTAATAATCACCAACTAATCAGAAAGCCCTGTCCTATAAGTCAGAGGTGTCAAATTTGCCCTTGCAAAACTCCATAGCACAGGGGAGCCAAATTAAAATGCAACTGGGAAATATTTAACAAAATAAATAAAAATACAATATAACAGATAATATTATTGTGTGGTTTTCTAAGTCAGTATACCACCTGGACGGATCTGTTTCTATCCGAGTTTGAGACAACTGACCTATGCTATAACCAATGACAGCCCTGATCTATATGGCCCAACCATTGAGAAGACCTAATCACACATTGTACAATTAATGATAGCTCCAAGCTACAAACTCTGACCAATCAGTGCCCAACCAATGAGAAAGCCCCATCTTATTATACTTGCAAACCCCTGAGAAGGTTTCATCCCATATGGTATAACTGGTAAGAGTTACTAGCCACAGAGCCCTATAATTAAAGGCAAGATAATGTAGCAGAAAAAGCGCCAGATTTGGAATCAAAGAACCTGAGTTCAAGTTCCACCTGTGATGCTCACCCCCTGAGCCTCAGTTTGCTGATCTATAAAGTGAAAAGGTTGGACCCTTCTGGAAATGATCCCACCTATGGTTCAAGCCTTTGCCACTTACTAGCTTTGTGACCATGGGCACATGAACCTCAGTCTCCCTAAACCGAAGGAATTGGACCAGATGATCTATAAGGGCCCTTCTAGATCCATTGAGGTATGGTAGGTAGAACGTTGGTCCTGCAGTCAAGAAGTTGTGGGTTCAAGTCTCTCCTCTGACACACTGGCTATGTGACCTTGGGCAAAGCACTTCACCTCTCAATCTTCTGAGCAATTCTCTAAGATCATAAATTGGAAAGATGATGACCTGCATTGGTAGAAGTAGTATCTCATTTAGATAACTCTCTATACGAGTGAAAGCCCAGGCTCAGCATTTAGCTTCATGATACTATATATCCCAACTAATGAAAAAGCCAACTGTGTATCCTCAACCAATGAAAAAATACAATGTTTTATTGATTGGGGAAGCGTGAGAGAGCCAATCGGATGACTGCAAATAGATCTTACATCCCCTCAGCTGCCTAACTGCTGAGGTCAGGAGCTGGGAGACTTCAGTAGCCAGAAATCTGACCTTGTTTTTCTCCTGAGAGCCATAAGCAAAACTTAGCACCCAAGGAGGGTGTGCATCAAACTTAAGATTACCAATCAGAACAAAGAGGGACTCTTCAAAAGCCCCAGAGTCAGACCTGCCTCTCAGATGGCATTCATGGGCATGACCAAATCATACAAGTCTCCTTTCCTGGGAGAGACCATCAGGGACAGAGTCTATAAGCAACAAGTAGGAAGATATCATATTTCTACATGAGGACTGAAAGAAGTCAGGTTCTTTATAAAGGTCATGGACATAATCTGAGATGGTCCTTTAAGGCCCATGGTCAGCATCCACTTCTTACATGACCTCCCCAGTCCACACTGATCTGAATCCTAGAATGTTCACTGCTGGCACCTCCTCTCTCAGATGCACATAAACACTTGACGTGTTTGCAACTGTCTCTTTCTGACTGACTTGTAAGTTCCTTCAAGCCAGGGTCTGGGTCTTCCTTCATCACTCCCACATGCCCCATAAACCATTCAGAGGAGACTAGCACTGGGCAGGACCCACAGTATGGGGATCAGTAAGGCCTTGCTGCATTGTATAATTTAAAAAAAAATTGTTGTAGGTTTTGGAAGAAGGATCATCAAAGTTCATCAAAGTATTGGAAAATCAGACTCAGAGGTAGTTTAAGGATTAAAGGAGCTGGGATGACTCCTTCCCAGAAAAGAGAAGGCTGTGGTCTGATGACGGCCACTAGGGAAAGGAGCCTGAGATGCAATTAAAAGGATTCAGCTAAAAAATAAGGGAACACTGACTACAATATACACAATGGAGACCATGAGATAAAGACAGCACTAAGAGTCTACAGAACTGGGTCAGATACAATGGATGAGGTTGGTGTCACATCATCAGTTAAAGCGCCCATCTGATCCTGCCTTCCTATTAATGAAAGGGGACAAAGTGACTAAGAATCTCCATCATACCATTAGGAAGTTTTGCTTAACTGTTAAATGTTCTTTGTAGGGAGTAGGGTGGGGAGTTTGTGGCATTGGCTGGGAATGTGCCTGTTGTTTCAAAACAGAACAGATTGGTAAATTTTTTTTTTTAAAGGAAAAGGTAGAATTTCTTGCCATAAAAGTCACTTGAGAGTGAATCAGAATGGGGAGTCATAGAAGGAGAGACCAGAAAAAGGAGGTCTTAGGGGGCTGGGAAAGAACCTCTGACAATCACGCAGGCCAACTTTCTCATTATACAGATGGAAACACTGAGGTCCAGAGATGGGAAATGACCTGAGGTCACACAAGACCCAGATCCTGAGTTCAGATGCTGAACTCAGATTCCAAGAGCCCTCCCATTCAATTTGCTACATGAGATGGAGATGGGCCACCTCATGAAGTGAGAGATAGGAATACTTTCTGATAACAGCAGCAGCTGACACTGTACTGTCCCTACCCAGGAGCATCACCACCTCTCAAATGAGGTGGGTTACCATCTATTCTTGTATTTAATAGTTGAGGGAACAGAGGTCCAAAAAAGTGAAATAATTTATCTGAGGTCATGCTGCTAAGGGACAGGACCAGGTTTCGAACCCCAGGTCCTTTGACTGCCAAATTTTCCATTGCATTTTGATCACTTCCCATCCTACTAACCTTAGGCTCTGGGCTGCCTGCACCCCCAGAGTGCTTTCTAAACTGGGGAGTCTGCGGCTAAAATTGCTCACTTTAGCCCCAGCACAACTCATTCTCTGGAGTACTCCATCTCTGGCCTTGCTCCTTGGGTAACCTTCACCCTCCCTAACCCCGTTTCCCAGCTCTTCTTTATGGTTTCTTTTCCTTTCAGAATTGTAAGCTCTTTGAAAATAGGAACTTTTTTTTTTTTTTTTTGGTATCCTCATAGCTTAGTACAGTTCCTGGAACACAGTAAGTGCTTAATACATGTTCTATCATTGATCTCTTCTTCTATCCTCTAACTCTTCTATCTCTTCTTCTTCTATCCATCTTTCCTACCTACCCTCTCTTCTATAATCAATCTTTTCTCTTCTTCTATCATTGATATCTATTTTCTATTATCTATCTTGTCTCTCTTCTATCATCTGTCTATTCTTTTAACTCTTCTACCTATCTATATCTATCATCAATTTCTTCTAATATCTCTATCTCTTCTTCTATCCATCTTTCCTATCTACCTATCTCTTCTATCATCAATCTCTTGTCTCTCTTCTTTTATCATTGATTTTTATTTATTCTTCTATCACCAATCTCTATTTCTTTTGTCACATCTCTAACTCTTCTATCTATCTATCTATCTCTCCTTCCCTCCATCTATCTGCCTATTTCTCCTCCTACCTAGCTATCTATGCTAAGAGTTGGAGAAACAGCTCTTATTTTGAGGGGGCTTGCATTCTAAGAGTGTTTATTATAAACTCCACAGGAGACTAGAAAAAGGAAGAGACACCTGAGGGATGGAATGCTCAGTCAAAATCTCATGGGGGAGGTATATGTAAGTGAGCTGGTTACTTACTTCATGGACTATTAGAGCAAGAAGGGTCTTTAGAGGGCATCTAGTCCATTCTCTTTATTTAACAAAGGAAGAAACTGAGGCTTAAAGAAAGGAAAGGACTTGCCTATGGGTCTACCATAAATTAAGTAGTTGCCAGAACATCTGAGCCAGCCGTCTAAGTCAGGACTCTCTTGACAACAGCAGCAAAGTCTCTCACAATACATAAAGGAGAAACGTGGAATTTCCAAGTAGTTGGCCAAGTCTCAGGGTCATGGGATCATGATTTTAGAGCTGGAAGGGGCTTAAGAAATTGTCAAATTCCACTTGGATGATTTGCCCAAGGCTATTCAGGTAGTAAAGGGGCAGAGTTGGAATTTGAATCCAGGCCCTCTGACTCCCCATCTACCATCCTTTACATTCTGCCATGCTGTTGCCAGGGGCCTTAGAATATGCTTCCTTGAGTGTGTACCAGAGTCAGGTGTTTCTGGTTGCATAACAAGTTCCCTGAAAGATTCCCATCTGCCTTGGCACACACTTTCACAATTAGCTGGCGAGGCACCCCCTTGGTCTCCGCTCCTTGAGTCAATGGGATGAACCATTTCATCAGGTGTGTAATTGGAAACCAATTGTTAGCTAATGAAGGGGTTGGCAGGGAAGTAGGGGATCTCAGACTGTGCCTTCCACAAGAGGACTCTTTCACTGCTCCATGGGTAGGGCACTACCGCCTTGTGGCAAGAGGGCTGAGGCCATGGTCTTACCTAGGAGCAAAATGGAATCATGGGAAGGGCACTGAAGAGAACCTGGGTTTGAATCCCAGCTCTGCTGTTTTCTACCTGGGTGACATTGAGGAGGTCTCAACTGTAAAATGAGCTGCCTACAGTAGGCCATCTGTAGGTCCCCTCCAGCTTTAAATTCTGTGACTCCACAAAGCTACCCCATCTGCCTAGCTCATCGCCACCCCAGTTCCAGCTGTTTGGGGATCTTTGATGTCTGAACCCTACCCCCACCTTTGTTAAAGCTTTGTTAAAGCCCAGCA